GGTAGATTATCTCGAATTATAATATATGTATATATATATATTATAATACATATTTTTTTCTTTTCTTTATGATGGCATTTTCTCCAGAATTTTGACAGTTTTCTTTTTTTTCTCTTTTTTTAAAAGGTTAATATGACTTGGTTTGGATTTTGTTTAGCATTTTGTCACTGCATAATTCCCACATTTCATAGTTTTGACTTGACTATTATTCTAAAATGGAGAAAATATTAATAAAACAGAATAGGTAATAATCAGAATAAGTGTATACAGACCATTGCTTGGTCAAATTAGTTCATTAGTGTGTAAGGGATGTATAATGTCAGTAAGATGTGAACTCTATACTGTACTCTATACTGTACTGTGCATATAGAAACATGCATAGATCTGGCAATAATTTATGTAATATATACAGGATTTTCTAATTTATATCAAAATCATGCATCCAGAAATATACAGTATGTATAGTGTTCTTTCTTTCTTTCTTGGTCTTTTCTTCTTCTTTTGTAACTTGAAGGTAATATAAAGTATTGGTAAAATTAGTGAACACTTTCATTTTATGACTCTGCATTCTTATTATGTCTTAGAAAAAAAATCCCCATGATATTTTTGTATATTTTTCCCTTACGAATCATGCAACAACTGTTTTTGTTTTGTTTTTTTTGAGGTAGTGTGAGATTTCCAGTGCTGGACCCACTTGGGAAGACTTGCTGAGCTAAAGCCTTTGCTTGCCTTTTAAAGTTCATTAATACTCATTAAACTGTTATGGCATTCATGAATAAAAGAGCAGAAATGTCAAATTAATTATTATTTTTCAGTATCTGTTCAGTAATGTACATATGATGCAGCACAGTGTCCATGTTTTTTCACCTCTTCTTTTTCTTTCTCGATGGTGTTTAATGTAAATAACAGTGATTGTTTTACTGGCATAATAATGAATATTGAGATATTATTATCTGGTATTATGTTTCAACGTGTCGCAGAATAAGAAACATAGATATCATTATTGATTAGTAGCGATATTACTCAGCTATTGAACCATTAATCCCCTTGGTTTGATCCTACACGAGACATCCTATGGGAACTGCTATATCACACTGAGCAGTGCGACCCCTAGTGACACTGCTGGTGTCTTTCCACGCATGACACTTCACAGTTTATCCACTGTGACGTAGAAAAGAGGAAAAAGATTCATCATAATTCGCCACAATTAAAAAAAATCACAAGTAGATCAGAATTGTACAAAGCTCAAAATTTAGCATTTCAGCTCTTATATATGGAAATAGTTTATATGACATAGAAAATATAGTAATTCATCATTTAATGTGTAAGCTGTACATGTTAATCAGTTTATTTCGTTCACCAGTTCTGTGCCATCATATTTACGGATTTATTAAGAATACTTTTTTTTAATTGCTAGCGAAAACCCCTAAATAGGTTCACTTGTGAATGACACTATTAAATATATAAATGCAACTATACATTTTCATGCATTAAAAACATTTATATACGAGTATGAATTTAAATTATAAACGATGAAACTATAAAGGCAACTTCTAATTATAAAGAATTTTTAAAATACATATTATACATATATAGCCTAAATATATTATAAAAAAGGGCACAAATTTAGAATAAAATGTTTCTTTTCGGATTTATACATCTACATACCATAGTCAGTAGAAAAAATTACAAATTAGATGTACAATATACAACGTACTAAGTAAAACGTCCAGATTTTTTTAAATGTAATAATATTTTAATCTTATTCAATTTGTGGCTTGTATTAAATAGATATTTAAATGGTAATTATATATATACAAAATTAATATATAATATATAAATCCATGATATTACATTACAATATATAAATTCATTATATTAAATATTATTATTAAATTCATTATATATATATATATATATATATATATATATACCGGTATATATATATATATATATATATATACACACACACACACACACACACACATACAAGCACATATATTATATAAACACAAACTTTTATGTTGAATGAATGAATTTAATATTAATATTTAATTTAATATAAAAAATGTAATTTAATTTATTATAATTAATTTAATTTATAATAACATGGTCAGCCTTAGCTCTCTTTCTTTCTTTCTTTTCTTTTTTTTTAGCGCCCGCTATGTAGACTCCAGTTTAAAAATCCCTGGCAACACACAGTGACAGAAGGCAACCTTCCGTCCGTCCGAGGAGAGCAATTCCTGAATTGAAAGGATCCATGTTAAAAGTTAGACAGCAATCGATTTACGCGCTCTGATTGGACACTGTCGCGATGAATGAAGAGTGTCGTCACGGTCGTTCTCAAACCCGATTGGCCTCTCCCTCACGTCAATCACGCCTGCACACGCCCTTTCATAATGCAGCATGGGGGAGAGAACCTAACAAAATGAAGGCTTCGTAGCGGAATACAGTCTAAACATCAAAACAGATCAGACGATTCGCGATCGTTCACGGATGGGTACGTATCTGATGTTATTCGCATGCGTTTGGTGACGAATGATATACCAATGACTGTTGGTTCCTGAGAAAACGCCTATGTGAGGGTTAGAAGCAGCACATTGCAGCAGTTTGAACGCCACGTTCGCTTTGTGAGGCGGTTCGGGTCAGGAAGTAAAGCGGTTTATATCGGCAGTAAACCGCCCGCGATTGTTGTCGCTACATTTTCCCAGCGTTAAACACACAAATGTGCCGAAACGTCGAAGAAAACCGCACTGTTTACGCTAAAGCAGATGCTAAACTAGCTCGCTAGCTTCTGTGACTAGCAGCTTTAAGTAATAGCGACTGCGGCGCGTGTTTGACGCGACCCGCGCTAAACACATTCTCCACGTTGACATTAATAGCGTAGTCTTGTGGTAAACAACCCGAGCTGGTAAGTAGAGTTGGTTCATAAGCCCGTCATCACGGTGTCCTTGATCATCACATGTTTCTGTGGACCGAATCCCTATTGACTGCATCATAATAATCGCTAATAAACGTCAGCGACATGAAACACTGTCACGAACGTGTGCGGCGAAATGATAACGTTAGATGATACATTTCTAGGCTGTGTCACAAAACATGTATCTGCTGTCTACTAGAGCTCAGCTGCACGTGTTGTAATGGCCAAAACTGCTGTCTAGCCACGCATTGAGACGCAGCATTACGCGTTTCACGAGTTCATAAACCGAATAGAGAAATATTAAGTGTATTTTAATAAACTAACTGTCTGAAAGAAGATTAAAACATTACAGTTAGACACATGGAGTGGTTTAGAAAGACTAGTAGGGATTAGTATGTACTAGTTAAAGGCCACATGAGTCCTCATTGGACACGTGCTTTTAGCCGGATATAGGCTACACTTTAGACTTTACCTCAGCGAGATACTGGGCAAGGCTTTATGCGTTCTTGTTACATGTACTTACTGCACTAAATTATGCATACTTATGTGTAACTAACATATGGAAGCTTGAATACAAAATCAAAACGGTACAGTGACTTTTTGTCTCACCATTCTGCCTTTTTTCCCCCTCAGAATTATCTGATATAAACCATATATAAACTCGCAATTACAATAAAACAGTCAGAATTGCGTGATTATAAATTCACAATTGCGAGTTATAAACTTAAAAAAAAGTCAGTCTTGTTTTCCTCAGGATTGCACTTTATAACTTGCAATTGCGACTATATCTTTATCTTTATATCGAGAAAAGTAGTCAGAATTGTGAGATACAAAGTCTCCATTATTTTTTTAAATGTTTTATTCTGGCGGTAAGTAACAAGCTTCCATACTAACCCTATAGTAAGTATGATGTTTATTAATATTACTAATACAGAACTTTAATGTTCAGTTACACTGCAACAACGACACCTTAAAATAGTGGGTTTTACTTTATTAAGGTGTGATTGTTACAGTGTAATTATATATTTAAATACTGAGTTATAATAATAATCTTCATGTATAGGATTAGGGTTTGGTTGAGGGTTAGTTGCATATAATTATGCATAATTTACTGTTATAACTATGGTAAGTACATGCAGGGCTCAACATAAAAAAAAAATCCCCACTGGCCCCCAGGGCCAGTAGATCAGAGTTTTACTGGCCCCTTCTATATTTTTACTGGCCCTGAAAGAAATAGAATGAAAAGCACTTTTCCATTAAACTGTATTTATTGTATACATTAGGATTAATTTTTCTTGGCCCCTCACAATGACAGTAAACTAATTATTACATGACATGAGTGATGAGTTACATAGGCTATATTTTCACTTCAAAATGGCGAAATTAGACAAAAGTATATTAGTTTGCCTGATTATTTTTGTCATACGTTTAACATTTATGACCTAAAAAACTGTCAATGAAGAAAAAATGAAGAACACGCTGAATCTGATTATAACAAGACTGAAGCGAACACAAATTTGTGTAGCTTACACTTAATCACACATTTTTAGGGGGGCTAGGCAGAAGTTTAGGGGGGAATTTGATTACACTATTTTTAGATAGCCCGTCGGCACTCGGCAGGCCGGTTATGCATTTTGCATTTTGGTCGGCTTTTATTGTAAATTTCCGGCAAACAAAACAGTACATGCCCTCATCGCCTTTCTCCACCCAGGTGTACTGCGTTTTCCATGACACTAGGAATTAGGACTGGGCGATATGGCCAAAAAATCATATCTCGGTATTTTTTGGTTAAATGGCGATATACAATATATATCTCTGTACTTTCTACGTTTTTCTATTTGGATAAAGAAAATCTGTATTTATTTAAAAAAAAATATTTCACATCCTGCTTAATGATATCCAAACCATGTTGATATTGAAGGATATGGAAACAAATATAGTGAATGTAATGTAGGCTATGCAATATATTACGTGCAAAAAGGTGGTTAAAATCACATTACATTCTAACATTACAATCTAAAAACAAAAATAATGCTTTTGTTTTTAAAATGACTAAGGCTAAACTAAAAATAAAATAAAAACAAAAGCACAACTAATTATATTAGCCTGCATTTGATTACCCCGTTATAATGCTCACTTTCATAAAAACATAGGCCTACTTGTATGGTTTAAAATTCCACATATGGCACATTTATTGTCTCCAACAACAAATATTTTAGCAATATGTATCTTTTAGTCAGAATTATTGCGCTACTCTTCTATTGTGCTCGTCTGTTTGGCGCGCGTGCTCGCGGCGGCGCTCATTCACGGAAGCTTGAATATTAGCGGAGATTCACTTGCAGAAGCTCGTCCTCTCCTGACAGTGAAATGGACATATTTGTTTGACTTTCTAACATTTATAGATGGAGAATATACCTCTAAAAATGTAAGTTAAGCACTGAGGAAAGCACCACATCTCAAACGCATTAAACAGCGCAAGTATTTATCTGTCAGTCAGCAACAGTATCTGTCAGAGCATCTGACAGGGCAAGCTGCTTTAAACTTGTTAACTATATCTTACCAGTTATTTTGAAGTGCTTAATATAAGCTTGTGTCATGTTTAGGACAAATTGTACTATGTTGTTTCACTGCAGGAGCTCACACTGCGTACTCCGCTATTTTTCAGATGTGCTCGTATCAAACTACTGTATCGATATAAACAGTATTGCCTCATTCCATATCGTTTAAAAAAAAATCGATATATTGTACAAACTCAATTTACCGCCCAGCCCTATAGGAATGTCCTCTTTCTCGTATCAGCCTCGTAGTTCTTTGACATTTTAACACGTTATTACCTGAAGTAACATTGACACTCTTCGCGCCACTGTATGTTTGATGTTTGTTTTGCTGATGGCCATTCGCGGGCCAGTGACTGGCCAATCAACTAGCCCGACATACTCTTTTACTGGCCCCGGGCCATCGGGCCATTGCTTATGTCGAGCCCTGGTACATGTAACATATATAACAAGGACAACTTAAAATAGTGTAACCAGATACTGTACCATTGATGTATGGAGTAAATGAATGATTTATTTTGATATAAATCTCTAATGATGTATATGTCAATAATGTTGAGGAATACAATATAAGTTGGTAAAACGCAGCATTTTTTTTACATTTCATAACTTTGTCTTTCCATGTACTGTAGACTTTCTCAAGCCCCTTTCACACAGAGCGTTGATCCCAGAAAGTTGCCATATAATTGCTAGAGTGCCTTCTGTGTGAACGCAAACACATCCCGGGATTGATGGGGACCTGGTAACATTGCCGGGATCAGTCCTGGAACGTTTTTTTTTGCCAGAAAAAACCCTGCAGGATCAGTGCCGTAAGGGGTGTGTTGTCGTCGCAATGACGCAATTACTATGCGTTCACTACACGTCACTTCCTGAAGTCACGTGTCTTTACGGGATGTGTGTGAACGCACGCACAGATTCCAGAAAATCACTGAATGTGAATAAACCAAAATCAAACTATCCCAAATTATCAGCGTATTTTCTGTAATCTCAGTGTGAAAGGGGCTTTAATGGTATGTTGCTTTGAGAGTCCAATGCTAATCGCTCGAGCCTATAGTTTGTTCTTTTGTGTGTCGTTTTACTGTTGGAGCCGTGGTTTCTTAATTTATCGTGTTCATGACAATGGTGGCTAAACTGACCTGTGATTGACAGGCGATCTAACCAATCAAAACGCAGAATCCGCCATTTTGTCCGACACACAAACCAGACCGAAGAGTGGTAGTAGATTAGCGATGGTGGACTTAAACTTGAAAAATTGTGTTTGACATCTTTCCACGGATAAAACAACATACCTTCAGGTGTTCGTTCATGTTTGTTTCGTGCTATAACTAGTAGTGACGAGCATCGGTTCACGTGCCGCTTGAACTGAAGCGCTACAGCGATCTGTACGCCGCATTAAAGAGACACAAAACTGTATATTGTTTGAAATTATTAGAAATTAACATTTTAAAGCTAGAGAGAGAGAGACCCCCCCCCGTCGCTCGCGCGCACTCTCTCTCTTTTCGGAGCAAGTAGGCTTCACCGTCTCAAAACTAAGCGCTGTCTTGCTCTCTCTCCCTCGCACATATTAATCAAAATAAACGACACAATGGTAAGTTTCATGTGGAGCATTCGGAGATTTGTTTTTCCTGAATTAGGCTACCGCTGGGTGTGAATTGTGCTAAAATACGTTGCCTTCTCTTCTCTGAAAAGCGTTCCGCACATTCAGCTGACATAAACCACACTTTAAATAAATGAAAAAACTATCCAGTGATGAAATGTTTTCTGTGATGACACCTTGTGGGATGTCCCAACGCGCCGGCACACGTCCGTTAATGACACGTTCAATTCGCGAACTAATGACTCATTTGAACCGATTCGTTTTAATGAATAGTTAAAACAACTGATCTTTCCAACACTGAACTCACGGGACCTTTAATCGGTAACTAATCGGTAGCAGTTTATAATAAGGTTCCATTTATTACATAAATTACATAAAAAGTAAAGTTTGCTTACTCAAGTGTAAGCTTTAAAACACATAAAACCACT